CAGCCGCCGCGTCCCCCGCAGCCGGCGCCCGCGGAGAGCGGGGCGCAGCGGGACCGAGCCGGCTTTGCGCCTCGCCCGCAGAGCGGGTGGCGAGAGGAGCGAGCGGCACCTGCCTGGGACCGGAGAGAAGCCGGCTGGACAGCTGTCTGTCCCGGGAGCGTGTCGGTCTGTCCTGCGACCCCACCCCTCCCGCGGAGCTGGGTTCCAGACCGGCAGCTCGGGCGTTCCCCGGTGACCCTTAGTTCAGCGAGGCGTAATCCAGTTGCTATTAACTGTTAGTAATTATGAATCCGTATTATTATTGCATCTGTTTCTTTTCCAGCAATGCAAATCATTCACCTCTCCGTGCCCAGAGCTAGATCGGGGTCCACTCAGGTGCCTTCCCTTGGGGTTCTTATCTGCTGATCCACACCACGCCAGAAATCGGGGTTAGATTTAAAATCGAATCACGTTTTAGTGCCATTAGCTGGTGTGTTGCTTTAAATCCACCTGTTTAATAGAATTATCCTTTGATGTAAATAGGAATTTAAACAGGAACAGAATTATCCTTTGATGAAAAGGTTTTTCGCTTGCAGTATATATCTATCTATCTATATATATATGAGTATGTATATATACACACTCATATACATATACTCACATATATATATATGTGTGTGTGTGTGTGAGAGTATATGTGTGTGTGTGTGTGTGTATATATATAGAGAGAGAGATGTATATGACTGTGTATAGATATATACACAGTCATATACCTATACTCATATACTCATATATATGTATATGAGTATATATATGTATATGAGAAAATATATATATACACACTCATATACATATACTCACATATATATATATGTGTGTGTGTGTGTGAGAGTATATGTGTGTGTGTGTGTGTGTATATATATAGAGAGAGAGATGTATATGACTGTGTATAGATATATACACAGTCATATACCTATACTCATATACTCATATATATGTATATGAGTATATATATGTATATGAGAAAATATATATATATATATATAACTCGTATACTAATAAATATATATATATATATATATATATGTATACACACACTCACACACACAACACACACACTCTCTCACTCCATTCAGTAGGTTGCATTCATTCTTATGTGGTTATGTAACCAGACGTGGGTGAAATCTCTTCCTAATTTAGACCAGAATATTTTCTTTCGCTCTCATCTCCCCTAAGAAAATTCATTTACATCGAAAATCCCAAAGCAAACGATCACTGGAAGAATTCTGAGTCCAGTATGTCCCCATCAGACAGTTTCTACACCAAAATCCCCTAGGCAGTTCACCTCTGTAGCAATTTGCCAAAAATGGAACCCTTCCTTTTCCAGTGGCAACCCAAAAATGCCACGCTTTGCGGCAAAGAAGCAATCTGGCTTCCCCCCTCTTTGTTTTCTCCTTTTTCATCCATTGCATGCCTTTATCTTCAGCGTTGCTGCCGGAGCCTTAACGCTTTGTTTCCTAAAGACTTATTGCTCTGCGGGGTTTGGGGGGGATGTTTTTTTTTTCCGACTTCTGAAAAGAGGCTGTGGGGCTTTTACCCAAAAACAAGAGTCTTGTCTTTGAAAGGTTCCAAAAGTGAAATGGTTTTTTATATGTAGACGTCCTACGGGGACAAGCATTGCTAGATTTGACCGAACGGGAGTGTATTTAGCCTGCATCCATGGACAATAAATGATGAAGGGTTTACAGGAGCCCTGAGATGAAATTGCCTGCTTTATTACACCCCAGCATGACATATGGATTTTTCTGATATGATTTAGGGCTCTCGTGGATTTCCTGTGGTGGAGCGCAGAAATGAGAGAGGCAATTTCTCAGTCATTTTCCCACAGCCCTAGATATGGTGAAGGCTGTGTACCAACTGCCTTGAAATTGATACAGTAGCTGGGTTGGCAGGGGTGAGGGTCGCACAGGGAGGGCACTGAAGTCGGACCCAGGAGACCAGAGTTGAATTCATGTCTCTGCTACAGCCTCCCCATGTGACCTTGGTCAAATTGCTTCATCTCTTTGGGGGCCTTAGCTCCCCACCTGGAAACCAGGGATAATTCCCCTGACTCACTAGGTAAGGCGAGAGGCCCTTTGTCATTGTGACGAGTCCAGAGGGATCGTGGGGAGAGTCTCCGTAGAGAGAGGGATATTGTCTAGGATGGTTCAGCTAGAAGTGGGTTCAATCCAGATCGTGTGGTCTTAGGAACCCTGAGCGGTGTCATGAACTCCAGGCGGGGGAAGGGGAAACTCACAGGTGCCCAAGCCCAGTGAAGTCAGGAGAAAGGCCGGGGCTTTGCATGAGGCCCCCAGGTTACCTGTCATGACAGCCCTCTCTCCAGTGAGTGGCCCTGGGGAACCCATAGAAGCGACCGCTCGGGCGAGGGCGGATTACTTATGGCAGAGGCTCCCAATCTGAGGTCCACGGAGCCCTGGTGGTCCATGATAGTACTGCTGGGGGTCCGCGGGCCCAGCACGGGACTTTCCACCAGGCGATTCCCGGGCGGGTCTCGCCGTTCATGACCATCCGTTCTCTGCACTGCCTTTACGCTGGAAAAGGTTGGGAACCACTGACTTCCGGCACCAGGCGTAGCTGCCTCTGAGAGCCCGACTCTGCCAGTCTTGCGGGAACAAAGCTGCCTCCAGGGTTGGCTCGGCTAAGGCAGGATTGGGCCCAAAGGTTGAGTTGGGTTTCCTTCGGCAAAGGGGGAAGGAGGAAACAGTCCAGGCTGCCGCCCCAGTGGGCCAGATCCGGGGCGGGTGCAAATCAGCACAGTGCCAGGGACATCACTGGGGTAACACTAATAAGCAACAGCGGAGCATCTGGCCCTCGGATGTCAGTGTCGCTCTGCCCCATTGACACCCGCCGGGGGTCTGACCCACCGACTCCAATTCAGCGACATTGATTTATACCAGCTGGGGGTCGGACTCCATCCTCTCCTTTTGTTTCTAAGGCTGGAGAGCCTCTAAATGAGCCATCAGCATTGCAACACTTAGATGGTAAGATCTCTGGGTCAGGGGGCTGGCTTTTTGCTCTGTGGGTGTATCAGACCTAGCCCCTTGGGGCCCTGACCAGTGTCCCCTCTAATTTTTCCCAATCTCTATAAGGAATACATTTTGTTCTTTGCACCCAAGCATGCATGAATGTGCACCACCCATAGAAATGCAGGCTGCCAGCATTCTGTTAATCCCCTGGGTGATACCTGAATCTCTCCTGGGTGGCCACCCAAGTGCTCAGCTCACAGGGAGCATTGGCTGGGACCCATGATAGACTCCTAAATGCTACTGGGATTAGGGTTGCCAGGTATCTGGTTTTGAACTGGACAGTTCGGTAATTGAGCTTTCTGTCCAGGAAACAAATTGAGAAAATACCGGACATAGAAATATCCCGTATTTTCTAATTAAGTTAGTTTTATTATTATCATGAGTATCAGTACGTAGTTGTGTCCTGCCAGGCAATACGCAGCTACGCAGTAGAGAGGAGGGAGGTGGGGCCAGGGCGGGTGGAATCCCCGGGACTGTGTGCAGGACGGGCAGCACCCTGGGGTCTGCGTGCGCCCGGGCTAGCCCTGCTCCTCCCTGCCCAGTTCCCCTCCAACCCCCCCGTTCGCCCTCCAACCTTTTAAAGCATGAGATCACTTTT